TTGCCCTGCTCACACCACAGCTGCAATCTTGTGTCCAGTGCTGGGCCCTCAGCTCCAGAAGGACAGGAACTGCTTGAAAGAGTCCAGCAGGGCCACAGGGCGGGAGGGGGTGGAGCATCGCGTGGGGAGGAGCGGCTGAGGGAGCTGGGGCTCTTCAGCTTGGAGCAGAGGAGCCTGAGGGGTGCCCTCATTCCTGGGGATCCATTGGGAAAGGGCAGTGTCAGGAGGAAGGAGCCAGGCTCTGCTCTGGGATGGCCAATGCCAGGACAAGGGGCAATGGTCCCAAGCTGGAGCACAGGAGGTTCAAGCTGAAGATGAGGCCAAAGTTTGTGAGTGTGAGGGTTATGAAGCATGGCCCAGGCTGCCCAGAGAGGTTGTGGAGTCTCCTTGTGTGGAGACACCCAAAGCCCTGGCCGTGTTCCTGTGTGACTGCTCTGGTGATCCTGCTGTGGCAGGGGTTGCACTGGGGGAGCTTTCCAGGTCCCTTCCAACTCCTGATATCCTGTGATTCTGTGAGATGGCGAGCCCCATTGTGGGTTTATGTGTTGACCCTAGGACGCCCTCCCCAAGGGCCCTGATGCAGAGAACGGTGGCCTGGGTTGTGCCCAAATGGGGGCACTGGGAAAAGCACTGGTCAGAAATGCTTTTGACAATTGATTTTTATTTTATTTTCTGTCAGAAAATGCCAATTTATTTGAAAGATATTTCTGTGGGAAAGAAAAGCTTTGTAGGAACTTGTAATCTGGAATGATTTCTTCTGTTCTGGTTGGAATAAGCAAGTGTTTATGGCCCATTCCCAGGACATTCCCACTATGACCTAGTGCCCAAACCTGGCTGCTCAGGGAATTGAGCCCAGTTTTGCCATTTTCTTGAGTGCATGAAGCTATAGCAGAAATAAAAGAGGGAAAAGAAACAGCTTGGGACTGCCACAGAGAAACAGTGGCATTGTTCCTTCTTGCTCGTGCCTTCCTGCCACAGCAGAGCCAGAGTGACAGCAGGTGCGTGGGTTTTCCCTTGACAGCATCTTTGGTTCTGTTTCTTGGCTGACTGTGGTTCTGGATGGAAGAGTGGTCAGGCATTGGAAGTGGTGGAGTCCCCATCCCTGGAGGGGTTCAAAAACCGTGTGGATGTGGCACTTGGGGACGTGGTTTAGTGGCCATGGTGGGGTTGGGTTGATGGTTGGATTCAATGATCTTAGAGGGCTTTCCCAACCTTAATGTCTCTATAGTTCTCCAAAGCAGTGCCCTGTGCCATGGGTTCCCCACTGCTCTCCCTAGGGACAGCTGGGGAAGGGCAGAGCTGGAGAAGCAGCAAACCGAGAAAACTCCCATGTGCTCCCCAAATCTGCCTTGAACTGAATCACGCAATGCTTACATGAAAATGCAATTATTACAAAGCAATGAAGCGAGGAAATGCAGACATTCATAGTGTATCTCCTGCATTAATTAGTTGCTAAAAATGTTGATCGCAGCAGATCTGGAGCTGCAGATGGGTCAAAAGCATCTCCCCTGGTTACTGCGCTGAGAAGCGCTCTGCTCTGTGCAGCTCTTCCCGAAGGCAGTCAGGGTTGGAGGCAGCTCATAGGGCAACTGGAGAAGAGTGTTTGAATCACAGCATCACAGAATATGAGGAGTTGGGAGGGACCTGGAAAGCTCCCCCAGTGCAACCCCTGCCAGAGCAGGATCACCAGAGCAGTCACACAGGAACACGGCCAGGGCTTTGGGTGTCTGCACACAAGGAGACTCCACAACCTCTCTGGGCAGCCTGGGCCATGCTCCAGAACCCTCACACTCACAAACTTTGGCCTCATCTTCAGCTTGAACCTCCTGTGCTCCAGCTTGGGACCATTGCCCCTTGTCCTGGCATTGGCCATCCCAGAGCAGAGCCTGGCTCCTTCCTCCTGACACTGCCCTTTCCCAATGGATCCCCAGGAATGAGGGCACCCCTCAGTCTCCTCTGCTCCAAGCTCAAGAGCCCCAGCTCCCTCAGCCGCTCCTCAGCAGGAGATGCTCCACTCCCTCCAGCATCTTTGTGGCCCTGCTGGACTCTTTCAAGCAGTTCCTGTCCTTCTGGAGCTGAGGGCCCAGCACTGGACACAAAATGAGGAGGCCATTGCCAAGAGACCTAGAAAGGTCCACTTGAATTTAAAACCCCTCAGTGAAACAGGTGACCACTGTACTTGCACTGCAGAGCATTCACATACGGGACCAAGTGTAAAAATGATCCCTGCCTTCAGTATCTGTGTGAGCTTTGGCCAAACGTGATCTACACAAGCTCAAGGTTGAGAGAAATATAAATGTCTACCATTATGGAATGGGGATATTTTAAATCCCAACTTTGTTAGGACACTTCACTTCTAAAGCACTTTGAGAAGAAAATTGTGCTGAGCAAAACCAATGTGCGGAAGAGGGCATTGCAAATACCTTAGGACTGGGTATGCAGTGCAGACCGTTCACTTCTTTAGGGTCTTGCTACCGGGCGCCAGGAAAATAGAAAAAAAATGTAGTTTGGAAAAGATGTAAAGGAATGAATGGTGCTTTGCTGCAGGGTGTCATTTAAGTAAGAAATCAACCCGTAAACAGGAGGAATTGGTCATTTCTCAGAAAGGACTGGCTGTCACCTATCCCAGAATAGAGAATTAGGGCATTTTAGGGCCATGCAGTCGTGTACCCTGTGCATCTGAAAAGTGAACCGACTCTTACAGTTAATTTGCAAATAAAAATATCTGCAAATTTGTCACTGCTTGTGCAAAGTTTTTGAATTTCGATTATTTCCTTCTTCAGGTCTGAAGTAGCTTCTTTCCTTCTGATCTCTTTTCTCGTGTTTTTGGCTGCCAAAAGAGGAGGGCATTTCTATAGAAACCGTGAAGAAATTGGCAATTTCAAAACATAATTAGGAGCTTTATGTGCTTCATCTTAAGGACGTTTCACACTATGACCAAATAACAGCAAGAACAAAAAGCTGCCAACTGAAACAATTGGCTGTGGTTCTTAATGTAAAAAAAAATAGGGACTATTAATGCACAGAGCTCATCGCTGAATAAGGGAATGAAATTAAGTTATTTCAGTGAAGAGAGTGAGAAATTTTCCAGTAGCAATGTCTGCATTGGTTTGTGGTCTGCTCTGGGAATATCTCGGGTATTTGCTGTGCCACTGACGAATTTTTTAAAGCCAGTGCTCACTTTGCAGCCAAAAGCTGTGTATTTAGTTTCAAGTGCGGTCTCAATCGTACAGGCGTACACGTACATACCGGAAAATAGAAATAAACTCATTAAATTTACGGGGATTCCTTCATGCTGAAAATGGAGATTAACTTGTTTGCAGATTCATAAGCTTACTCCTTGACCTGCCTGCATCATATGAATATGAAGTCGTATGAAGTGATGAGCACTGCTCTGCATCTCCCAAGTACCTGCTAAATTTTTTTCTGAAGTTTGCTTCCAAAAAAGCACCCTCTTCCTCTCCCCATTGTTTCATGTTATCTTTACAAAATGTGGCATTTCTCTCTAAATAGTTTGCCTAAGGCCTGTGATAAACAATATTAAGTTGTCAGTCATGAGATATTAAAGAAGTGAATGTCTTCACTTCATACCCAGTCCTAAGGTGTTTTTAAATGTCTGAGCTTTCAACTCAGTGATTGTCAGTGTCCAGTGCTGGGCCCTCAGCTCAAGGAGGACAGGAACTGCTTGGAAGAGTCCAGCAGGGCCACAAAGATGCTGGAGGGAGTGGAGCATCTCCTGCTGAGGAGCGGCTGAGGGAGCTGGGGCTCTTGAGCTTGGAGCAGAGGAGACTGAGGGGTGCCCTCATTCCTGGGGATCCATTGGGAAAGGGCAGTGTCAGGAGGAAGGAGCCAGGCTCTGCTCTGGGATGGCCAATGCCAGGACAAGGGGCAATGGTCCCAAGCTGGAGCACAGGAGGTTCAAGCTGAAGATGAGGCCAAAGTTTGTGAGTGTGAGGGTTCTGGAGCATGGCCCAGGCTGCCCAGAGAGGTTGTGGAGTCTCCTTGTGTGCAGACACCCAAAGCCCTGGCCGTGTTCCTGTGTGACTGCTCTGGTGATCCTGCTCTGGCAGGGGTTGCACTGGGGGAGCTTTCTAGGTCCCTTCCAACTCCTCATATTCTGGGATTGTCACTGGCTCCAATTTTGGGATACCCAAAAAACTGGAGTAGAGGGGTCTGATTTTCAGAAAGTGCTGTGTTCCCTTTCTGCAAATGTTATTCCTTAAAGACACATCAAAAATATGCTGAATTCCATCAGGATCAGTCAAGGCTCTGGGATTTCTGACTGCCATGCATTTCTGCCATCTTCGCTGTTTTCACCCAGTCGTACTTTCTAAATTGGTTTTCAGATGACAGAAACAGTTAAAGAAAACTGAGAGAAATATCCTTAACGATTTGTGAGTGACATATTTGGGTTTGTAATCATTCTGATTTGCTCTTGTCGCATCACTTTTAGAAGGATGAAATTTTACATTTGAAAATGACAAAAAAATAAGGTAGACATAATCATTTCCTGCATATAACATATAATTTCTCAGTCCTCTCAGGAAAATTGCTGTTTCATTTAATAAATCTCTTACCTGTTTAGCCCCATTTGAAACCCACCTTGTCAAATTGAGGGTACAATCCTCCTTCCACTGAATGCAAGACCACTGTAGCTTGTGTTACCAATTGTTATATTTTATTTCCAAAATAGTTATTTC